TTATTAAATAAGAAACACAGAGTCAAATACAGGGGTGAAAGCTGTAGAGATCAGAGAAATAGTGATAGCCACCAGCTCACCTTAGCTCACCATGCTGCCGTAGCTTCCCAAGCAAACCAGCTTCTTCCTGTCTAACCTGTGCCTTTATTGCCTTGCTGTTCTGCTTTCTCATTGGTTCTTAGCCCAACCACCTGACTTCCTCGTCACTGCCTGTCTGTACACATCTCCAGGTCTCTATGGTGGGTACTGGAATTAAAGGCATGTGTCTTGGCTATGTCCTTGAACACACAGAGACTCTGACTACCATGTGATTGGATTAAGGGCGTGTGCTACCACTGCCTGTAACTTCTGTTTATGGCTGCCTATGTATTTCCTCTGACCTCCAGGCAAACTTTATTAACATACAAATAAAATATTACCACAGTGTTGGCTGACTCAAGCAAGCAGACACAGGCCAGGAGCTGCGTCTTTGTATGCCAAGGCCTGCCTGAGAGACTGCAGGACTAGGAAGCCACGTCTAGCTCTGTGTTTGCATGTTTGGAACTTTTTAAAAAGCTTTTTCAGGTCCTATGTAGAAAAATGCATCCCTATGTTGGACACCATATGTACTAAGTCTTTCTTGTTGGACTGTCTTTGAATCACCAGCCCCCAAGTAATGACTTGGAGGCTTCTTATTAATTATGAAAGCTTGGCCTTTAGCTTAGGCTTGTCCCACTAGCTCTTATAACACAAATTAACCTGTTTCTATTAATCTATGTTCTGTTACATGGCTTTTTTTTTTTTAACCTCTCCTTAATTCTGTATGTCTGACTTGGTCCGCTGTGTCCCTGTGCGCCTAGATTCATCCTCCTCTTTCTCTCTTTCCCCGGAAGTCCCGCCTATAACTCCTGCCTAGCTATTGGTTGTTCAGCTCTTAATTACACCAATCACAGCAATACATCTTCACACAGCGTACAAATATTCCACAACATCTCCTGCCTCTGACAATTCTGCCCTGCATTGGCCTAGGAGTGTTGGGCACAGCTGAGTGGTTGGTCTCACTACAGAAAGAGCTCTTGAAACCTCTTTCTATTTCTAGAGCAATCATTGATTGACCCTTTTTCTAGTCTGCCTGGTTTCTCCCACTTCTGGGTATTCAGTCAGAGTCAGGTTCAAAAGTGTGCTCTGCTGTTGCCAGTCAGTGGAACCACACCCATGGAATCCATCTCTTCCAGATTTACCATGTGTGTTCAGGAGGAAGTTTTCAATAAACCACTATCCCTACTTTGGAGGATATAATGTAGCATGGCCAGTATCACACATATTAAGAAGCAGACAGCAGCTGGATGAGGTGGGACACACTTGTAATCTATGACTTGCTGGCTGAAGCAGAGGGACCCCAAGTTTTAGGCAGTCCAGGCCACGTATTGAGATTCTGTTAAAAAAAGGAATTGTATCTGAAATACTTTGCTACTAAACATTCATGTACAGCCCCCCCTCCCCAGCCCAACCTGTCAGGAAGATGGTAATATTTTGACTCAAAGTAAAATAAAAAAGTCATGATATTTTATTTATAATTCAGCTCTATTGAAATCCCCAGTTTTTCCTCATTTTTCCCTTAAATTTTCATTTATAATTCAACAAACATTTATTTTGTACTTGGTTGTTGCTAGAAACTAAAGTACACTTAGGAAATGAGGAATAAAATAAGATAGACAAATATTGAATCTAAGAAATAGATATCTTTTGTTAATTTTTCTGGATATTAAATTTAATTATTTTTCAGTATTTTTCAATATGGTACAGTCACATTAAGTTCTAAAATGTCTATGAATAAAAAGATATGTGCAGTTAATTATACTCTGGCCTAAGTACATTTATTTTATGGTTTATTTCCATTTGAGAAGTAAATCTAGATGTAGGGGTTATTCTTGACCTTAAACAGAGACTGACACTGTTTATTGGGGGTTTAATTCATTGGTGATTAATGGTTTGTTCAGAAGTCTGAAAGAAATCTTGGCTGTTTCAGAGTCAGGGTATAGAGAGAAAGCCTTAATTGTTTTATGTTTTTTACTTTTTTAAAGATATATTTTATTTTTAATTGTGTGTGTGTATGAGAGAGGAGAGAGAGAGAGAGAGAGAGAGAGAGAGAGAGAGAAAGAGAAAGAGAGAAAGAAAGAGAAAGAGAGAGAGAAAGAGGATGTGAGTGCTGATGTTCTGGGAGGCCGGTCAAGGGTGTCAGGTTCTGTCTTTGTCACTGTTCTATTGCTTGGAGGAGACACCATTACTGAGACAACTTATAAAGGAAGGCATTTAATTGGGGGTTGGCTTACAGTTTCAGAGGGTTAGGCCATTGTCACCATGGTGGGAAGCAGACAGGCATGGTGCCAGAGCAGTAGCTGAGAGCTTTACATCCTGATACATAGGCGGCAGGTAGAAAGGGAGAGGAAGACAGAGATGGAGACAGACAGACAGACAGACAGACAGACAGACAGACAGACAGACACACACACACACACACACACACACACACACACAGAGCCTGGTGTAGGCTTTAGGAATCTCAAAGCCCACTCCTTGTAAAATACCTCCTTTGACAAGGCCACACCTATTCCAACAAGGCCACACCTCCTAATCATTCCTAAATCCATTAACTATGGACCAAACATTGAAACAGAAGCCCGTGGGAACAATTCTCTTTCAAACCACCACAAGTTCCCTGGAGCTGGAATTACAGGCGGTTTTTGAGATCCTGACATCCACGCTGGAATTTGGACACTGGTCCTCTGCAAGAAAAGCAGTCACTCTGATCTACTGATCCATCTCTCTAGCGCCTGTATTTTTTGTGGGGTGGGGGGATGGGGGCTCACGTAGGCTCATGTAGGCTGTCCTCCAACTCCTGATTCTCCTGCCTCTACCTCCTGTGAGCTGGGATTACAGGTATGAGGCACTGTGCTCAGGAAGAGCATCATGTTGACCCTGTTCTATGCGACCCTTGAAAAGCAAAGCAGCCTTTCAAACATTCATGGTCTCACTCATTCTCCCACCTCCATCCCAGGGACTGAACTGCTCCAGTTTTTATATTACTCTGCAAGTGGTATTCCAACATCTTCTAGACCGTGTTAGGAGGTTGTAGCCTGCTTTTAAATTTCTACTCCCTCCCCTCCAACTCTGACACCTAAGGAGTTTGTAATACCATGTTTTAGGTCCTAGGCATGATGTATTCAGTACAGGACAGTGGACCTCCACAGACTTATCGCAGAGAGGAAAGTTGTTACAGTATTGGGTAGAAATGCAAAAGTATGTTCTAGAGTCTTGGGGCAGGGGGTAGCACATGACTTCTTGTGTTCTTTGCATATTAGTAAAGAATTTTGTACCTTAATATCTTTATGTCATGTCCAGGGGCTAAATATGCTCAAGAAAAGGTACTTCATTTAGTAAATTAGCCACATTAGTCACTGCCTGAAAGGGTCTCCGATAGCCCATAGCCACTCTCCAATCTGTTTGCTTTTTGCATAGATCAAAAGCGTAAATAGGTACATGACAAGAATTACTAATAGGTTTTCTGTGGCCCGATGATGGGTTTCTCTGCTGATGCAGTAAGCCAGATCAAGCCAAATTGAAAAAGTAAAGGAACAGGTTTATTTGAGCAGAGCAACTCCATGGTGAGTTCCCTAGTCCCAGAGATCGAGGCCGGAGGAGTCAAGTGCCCAAACTAAAGCAGGGAGCTTATATGCCTGTAGGTGAGGGGTGTGATGATGTGTCCACCACAAGCTGGGTTTGTGCCCAAGTATGGTCAAAAGCTGAGCACTTTAGGTAGAGACTTGAGCTGCTGGCAGCTTCAGGGGAGGAGCTGCTACAGCCTTCAAGAATGCGGAACTGGGCTTTTTGTGCCTTTTCTTCGATGGAGATTCTCTGAGAGGGCAGGGTTTAGAGAGATGGGGCTTCTCAGACCTTGCAGGAGTGAGCTGGAGGTTCCAACCACACAATTCCCACCCTCCAACACTTCAGGATTTGATAGTTCTCCCAGGGATGTGACTGCTTGTTTTTAGTTTACGGTCCTAAGAGAGTAAGTTGAGAGTCTTCTGCTTGGTTACTACTATCACATACCCACATTCCATGGCCAGGAGTCCATATGGGAATTCTACCAATGGATGAGTATGTATAATCCAATAGCACAGTCACCATGCAGCCTGAAAACTGACCACAGGTGGGACTGTGAACTCTTCAGACTTACGGTGAAGCAAAAGAGGCCAACTTCATGAGTCATCAGCCACAGTCACCTTTCTTTTGGTGAACAGTGGCATTTTATGGCCCTAGATGTAGAGGAACTGTGCCTTTTCAATAGTAGAGAGGTGAGTGTTGTTCTCTGGGGGAATCAAGACAAATGGAATGTGTGTTTGTTAACACATTCATTTCCAGCCTAAGATCTCTCAGAATAGGGCTAAGAAGAGCATCCATGAGGTCGAACAGGTGGAGGCCAGCATTCTCCATGGCTGGTGTCCTTTTGTGAGTTGCAGGTCCACAGAGGCTATCATTGTGTCAGCAGAGATTGGAAGAGTATTCTTGTTTCACACGTTCCCTGATACTTTTGACCCTGTCTCTTTAATGAGGAACTAGGAATGAACTGCATTGCGTTGGAAGTTGTTTGGGCTGTGAAATTCAGCCTGTGCTGATCCATAAACACAGTTAGCACTCCAGAAGCTTGTGAAACATCATCCTGAAGTGTGAAGCGTACCCGTGGAAAGGAGGGTGTAGGGATTCTTTTCCTCCTTGGAGACTGACTTTCAAGAAATTTCAGACTTTATTATTTAGGTAAAATTTTGAGCATACTATGAACACGTAAGTTCCACTTGGGTACCATAGTGACACAAATTGCATGATACCAGCACAGAACAGAGCTGTGGACCAATGGAATGGAAGGGATGACCTGGATACCAGCACAGAACAGAGCTGTGGACCAATGGAATGGAAGGGATGACCTGGATACCAGCACAGAGCAGAACTGTGGACCATATAGACCAATGGAATGGAAGGGATGACCTGGATACCAGCACAGAGCAGAGCTGTGGACCATATAGACCAGTGGAATAGAAGGGATGACCTGGAAATAGACTCACACAGCTATAGCCACCTAAGTTTTCTTCAAACCATTTAGAATTGTATTTATTTCTTTGTTCAGGGTGTATGTGTGCACCTATGTGATGTGGTCAGAGGACAGCTTGGCAGGGTCCGTTCTCTCCTTCACCAGGTTGTCAGGCTTGTTGGTGAGCGCCTTTAACCGAGGAGCCATTTCACCGGCCCCAGCCACCCCGATGGTCAAGAGAGGTGTCAAAAGCATACGCTGGAAAAAAAGACAGCCTCTTTAACAAATGGTCCTGGGAAAACTGGATTTCCACCTGTGAACAATGAAACTAGACCCCTACTTTTGACCTTGCACAACTCAGAATGGACAAAGGATCCTACAGAAGATCTGAACCTTAGAACCTGCACAGTAGAAAAGAGTCAAGACTTTCTGTACCTTTTGAAAGGGACTCCAGGAACACAGGAAATAATTCCTGGAGTTGGTACATGGAATTCTGTGAAGTTAAAAAGATTATGTATTGTAAAGAAAACAGTCGCCATACTGAAGAGATAGCCTACAGAATGGGGGAAAAAAAAAACTTTGCTAATTCTACACCTGACTGGAGATTAATATCTCAAGTATATAAAGAATTGTAAACATTAAAATATTATTCAGTTAATAGGCCAGTCAGCTAAATATATAGCTCGCATAAGAAATATAAATGACTAGTAAATATTTGAAGAGGTATTCAACACCCTTAGCTGCCGAGACAATTAGAGCTGCTATGAGAGTCCATTTCACCCAAGTCGGAGTGGCTGTCATCAGAAAACAAACAAAAAATTCTAACAAGGATATGAAGGTAAAGTGACTTCTCTTGTACTCTTCGGGGAGCGCCATCTAATACAGCCAAAACCTGAGACTAGAACTGCTGTACGACCCAGCTATACTTCTCCTGGGTACATGCCGAAGGGGTTCTTAACACACCACATAGAGACCTGTATGTCCATGTTTGCAGTACTGCTCACAGTAGCTAAGACACGGAACTGGCCTAGAGTGCTGTCAACAAACGAATGGATCAGTAAAATGTGGTACATACACACAATGGAATTTTTTAGCTATAAGGAAAAAACTGTGACCTTTGTGGGAAGATAGATGGAACGAAACGGAGATTATGATGTTAAGCAGAAATCAGCCAGACTGTCTTAGTTAGGGTTTCTATTGCTGTGAAGAGGCACCATGACCATGGCAACTCTTATAAATGAAAATAACTGGGTGGCTTACAGTTTCAGAGGTTTAGTCCATTCTCATCATGGCGGGACATGGTGGAGTGTAGTCAGACATGGTGCTGGGGAAGGAGCCGAGAGTGGAGGAGGAGCTACATCTCGATCCTGTTGGCAACAGGAAGTGGTCTGTCTCACTGGGTGTAGCTTGAGCAAAGGAACCCTCAAAGCCCACACCCACAGTGACACACTTCCTCCTCCAAGGCCACACCTACTCCAACAAATTCACACCTCCTAATCCCTTTGGGGTCCATTTTCTTTCAAATCACCACACAGATTCGGAAGGGCACATACTGTGTGTTTTCTCTCATTGGCAGAAGTTGACTGTGTGTGTATGTGGGGGTCAAGGAAGTAGAAAGGAGTCAATGAGATGGAGGAAGGTATTTTGAGTGGGGCAGGGAGAGGGTGATGGAGCACACAACATGAGAACAGTGGGGGTGAGGACTTCTGGGGAGGATGGAGAGGGGGCAGTGCAGGGAGGGACAAATAAAACCAAATTATGATTAATGTCTGGAAACAGAGGAAAACTCATCTCTTTGTATGCTAAGAAATATTCCAGACTTTCTTATTTAGGAAAAACTTGAGCATAATGAGATCATCTGAAACACTTGATCTATGCACATCTCATTGATTTCAAGCATCTTGGTTATGTAGGAACTATCTTTGAAATAATTTTCAGTTTCTCGTATCCTCGTATCTTACTAATTCTGAGTAAGTGAAATTACTTTATTACCTGTTTTTACTTGTAAGTTGATAAACGAGCTTTGCTGTCAGTGGCAAGTGAGATTTTACAGAAGTTTGTGTGCTTATGTGAAATTTCTGGAAAAATGAAACAAGCTTGTGATGGCGGGCATTCCCTGGTGGCCTAGTCTCCAGTCCTCTACCCTTTGAGAATCCTTCACCTTTTCCTTTTCACTGTTTTGTAACTGTTCTTAAATAAAAATTTAAAAAGTGGTTTCCAGATCCACAGCTAACAATATTTTTTTCTCACTTGAAGCTAATTTTCTGTTGTTAATGTATCAATGTTTTCTGAGACTCAAAAAAAGTAGCTACAAATAGAAACAAAAGTTTGCTAGTAGTGTCTTAGCATATGGTTTGCAAAGATCCCAACGTTAACTAAGTCAGTATGAATGTCACAATTCATCAGTCGTAAAGTATATATTAGTCACACATCAGAGTGGATCCCCGTAACCCCAGAATCTGGGAGGCTGAGGCTGGAGGATTGCATGAGTTTGAGGCCAGCCTATTCATCTAGTAAGTTAAGTTCAACTTGGGCTATTGTTTCCTTAGGGTTGCTGTTGCTGCCACGGAACCCCATGACCAAAAGCAAAGCTGGAGAGGAAGGGGTTTATTTGGCTTACAGGTGCCTATCAGTTCATCACTGAAGGAAGTCGGGACAGGAACTCAAACAGGGCAGGGTCCTGGAGGCAGGAACTGATGCAGAGGTCATGGATGAGTGCTGCTTACTGGCTTGCTGTCTATGGCTTGCTCAGCCTGCTTTCTTATAACTGGGACCTCCAGTCCAGGGTCGGCACCACCCACTGACATGGCTATACTTCAGGCCTCTTCATCCTCTGGAACCTGTCAATCCTAGAAAGTCTTTTGACTTATCAATCTTTCACTAGAATCTGCCATCCTGTCCTCTGTAAGCTTCCAGATGTTGTCCATCTCTCTCTACCTGACCATTTCCCCATCGTTTCTTCCAGGCTTTCTCTTTTGCAGTTAATGGGACACAAACATATTGTGTTCTGGACATCTCCAGGGCTTTCCATTTTCCTTTTTCCTGGTGACATTCACAGTTGGCATCCTTCATGCTGTGTAGGAAGCCAGCTGTATTCCCTGCTGCTTGTCTCATTTCTGTTAGAGAAAACTGGAAAACTGTCTTATCACGAATGTCAGCAGAGCTTTTCAAGTCCATGCAGCGGTTGTTCTGTTACTACTACTACTACTACTACTACTTCTTCTTCTTCTTCCTCCTCCTCCTCCTCCTCCTCCTCCTCCTCCTCTCTTCTTCTTCTTCTTCTTCTTCTTCTTCTTCTTCTTCTTCTTCTTCTTCTTCTTCTTCTTCTTCTTCTTCTTCTTCTTTTAAAAAAGATTTATTTATTTATTATGTATACAGAAGAGGGTGCCAGATCTCATTACAGATGGTTGTGAGCCACCATGTGGTTGCTGGGAATTGAACTCAGGTCCTCTGGAAGAACAGCCAGTGCTCTTAACCTCTGAGCCATCTCTCCAGCCCAGTTCTGTTACTTCTTATGCAGCTTTTTCCACACTCCCACCCCCTGTCCAAACAGCTGTTACAGACCTTTTACTTCCTGATTGGTCAACCCTGCTCAGCCTCGGGAAGTGACCTAGAAGAAATGGTACATATACTCCTCTGTCCCCTACAACCGTATCCCGTCGCTCCTTTCCACGGTCTCTTCTCCAGCTGGCTATCCGAACCGAACCTCCTCTTCCTGCACTAGGATTCGGCTCAAGCCTCTCCTGTCCTAAAGATACGTAGATGTGTTTTCTTGACTCTGCACCCCTTTAAAATGATGTTCTTACCCCACTCTTCTCTGTAGCTAGAGTTTTCCTGCCTACCCCACAGTCAGGACAAATCTCTCTCACCCGCCAGTCCCACAGCCGCTCAGACCCAGTCAAGTAAACACAGAGACTTATATTGCTTACAAACTGTATGGCCGTGGCAGGCTTCTTGCTATCTGTTCTTATAGCTTAAATTAATCCATTTCCATAAATCTATACCTTGCCACATGGCTGGTGGCTTACCGGCACATGTGGCTTGTCATGGTGGCAGCTGGCAGTGTCTCTGACTTAGCCTTCCACTTCCCAGAATTCTTCTCCTCCACCTACTTCCTGCCTGGCCACTGGCCAATCAGTGTTTTATTTATTGACCAATCAGAGCAATTTGACATACAGACCATCCCACAGCACTTCTCTCTTTGTGTGTGTGTGTGTGTGTGTGAGTGTGTGTTTGTGTGTGTGTGTTTGTGTGTGTGAGTGTGTGTTGCTGGATTAGAACTCAAGAGCATCATGTATTTGAGGGAAATGCTATACACCCAGCTGTGTCTCCAGAGTTCTTTTCACTTGTTTTGAGACGGGCTCACTAAGTTGCCCAGACTGGACTTGAACTCACTGTGTATAGCCAGCTTGCCCCTGAAATTGTGGTCCTCCTGCCTCAGACTTTTCAGTAGCTGGGACTACAGGCTTTGCCCTACTGGGAACGGCTCCTTTGGCCAATTTTTACAGTTTTGAATTCTCTTCTGTCTGTCACACCTACTGTGGCGTCACTGACCTCACACTAGATGTCTCTGTGGTGACAAAGTTGTTTGTCACTGCGCTCTCCTGAAACCATCTTCACTGTTGGGTCCACAGAATTGTGTCTCAGTGTCAGAGAGCGTGTTTGTTCTGCAGTTACTGCCCAGAACCTGTACTCTGTGTCTCACGTGGTTGTCACACCGCACTGTGTGATTCGTGAGGTGTTGACACCCGTCTTGGTCCGGCATCCCAGCATCATGTTGTCGTGTGGTTGTGAACAGTGCTGAGTGGGATGAGGCTCTCTCGAGGTTCCGTGGGGGGATAGGGATAATGGCTTGCTGAGAAACACCCTGAAACACACAGCCCTGATTTGCCCATCTGCTGTTCTGAACAGACAGATGGAATCCGGGATGCCCAAGTGGGATTCTTGGAATTTTTTCCTTTTTTCTCCCCCCACAAAACTTTGAGATGCTTCCCCAGTACCATTGTCATGTCCCCCACCACAGTTTCTTTGTAGATGTGCTCTGACCTGCACCCCGCAGCTGTGTCTCTGGCCGGTACCCTGCTGTCCTTGCTTGAGTGGCAGGCACTTAGGGCTTCTCAGTGGCTCCCGCTTTTGTGGTCAGCTGAGAACCATTCAGAGCCATATCTACAGACACACCTAGTTTCCAACAGGACAGCTTTCTGCTTAGGTTATATTCTTATTGACCAGTTCTCAGAATGATTACTTGACTTGGAAATTTATGAGGACAGTGTTCTTGGAGGTGCTGAGAGCATTAGAACACGAAATCCATGGCCCTTGCGTTTGCAAGCTGCTGGGAAAAAGTTCTGTTGTGCTTTGTTTTAATTCTAGCACAGGCGCCATGTGGTACCTGCACGTGGAGGGAGCTTTCTCGAAGGTTTTGTGAAGGAGATGCCTGGAGAGGGAGCTGGGGGAAGCTTGAGGGATGTGCAGGGATTTCACTTGGTGGAGCCGAAGGCGGCGGCTGCGGGGATGGGCAGGTCAGGTGGAGGCAGTGACGTGGATAAAGGAGGAAAAAGTATGTCATATATACTGGCTTTAGCAGAACGTTGGCAGTTGATTGGTGGAAGGGCACCTTGGAAGATAGAGGTGAATGGACGTGCAGCAGAGAACATCAGATGCTAGTCTCAGAGTACAGAGGGTGTATGTGGTACGTGGCCTTTGGGGGTTGTTGTTGGAGGAGGTGCAGGGATTGGGAACTAGCAAGGCACATTGGGCAGCGAATGGAAAGTTGAAGATGTTGGAGGGGGTGAGACGGGAACACATGTGACTTGTGGCTAGCGCAGGGGGGTGGTAGTG